ATTGTCAATGGCTATGATTCATGAATTTCCGAGCTAGGTCAATTATGCATTGTTCTTATAACTATTTAAAGATGCATTTTTGATAAAGCAGAAACAACTTTTTTCTCAGGTATTATTCAATTTTTTAAAAAATTCTAGCTTGGATAATGACATTTGAGTATTTAAATGTCTATATGAATGTAATAAACTTGCTTTATTGTAAGTAATCGATACAGAAGATTTTAGTATTATGTATTTAGAATTTAGTATTATGAACGAATAAGTTATGTATTAATGATTGAATATTACATAAAATCGTATAAAATCGGAATATAGTTGTTTTGATAAGCAGAATATTGGATCTGATCAATATCCATTAAATGTCTCTTCGAGTGCTTTTAGTTTACTCGAAACCTACGAGCTGAAAGATTTTGAGCTAACGCAATGGTTTTTCGTATCCACGAAAATTTCTAATTTCAAGTTATTATTACCAAAGTATGAGCACGATGATGATTGGTGCGCAGAACTTATACACTCTTCAAATCAAATGCGTCTGACCCAGTACAAACTGCTCTCAATTCAAACATCGGGCACTGACTGAAGTTTGGGTGTCAGCCTTAGGCGTTTCCTGTTCATTGTTTGCGATGGTTTCAGTTTGTTGAACCAAAAGATGCCAAGCACTCTAGGCTAGACAACAAGCTAGAAAACGAGTAAACTAGCTGTTCCATGCAATGTCCCTAACATTATTTGATATACATCATTTTATCCACTTGAGACATAAAGAGATCTATCCTTTGGTTAAAGAGATCAATACTTTGGTTTTTTGAAAAATAAGAGTTGTGAGTTCGTATTTAGTCAATCTTCTATAGATAGACTTTGGTAAATATTCAATGACCTTTTCGAATTTTGTCTATTTTTTCTTGAAATGATTTGTTATAATATATCATTAGAACGAGAAATCAATCTGCAAAGATTGAAAAATATTTTTGTATTTTTGGTATTTCGCTTGCTACAAAGAAAAAAGAAAGACGAAATATATAATGTATTATAATTTTGGGAAAAGGCGTCAGTTTTCGAAAACGAATGATCTGGCCTCGAATTATGGTCTAGCATCCAACCAATGTTTTTTTTTTTTTTTTTTTTTTTT